GTAATTTTACAGTCTGAAAATACCATCATTTGGACGTTTTGAGAAGGAGCGGTAGTTTGTGATTTGCAAAGGGCTAAGCTGGGCAGCTCACCATTACATTTTTCTGGAATAAACAACAGTATCCTTTATACGCCAAGGATTACTGAGGGGGTGTCTCTACTATGGGTAGATGTTGTTGCAAAATACGAGTAGCATTCTGGGAAATGCATCCCATTGTAGCAGTGTTAATACAGCAGCATGCTGTGGATGCTAGGTCAACCTTTGTGCAGCTTTATGGTGCCCTAAATTTTCATCATCATTATTGTTCTTTGAAATCATCTTGATTTTTGCTGAAAATCTGTGAGAATTACGTATGTTTTCTGTCAGCACCAGTCTGTACAGAGTTTGAGAGTGAAGTAGCAAAAAGAACAACTTGGAGATAGTACTTTGAGGCAGCCTGAGCTTCTTAAGCCTAGAAATTGTTTTTGTTCACATGGAAATGGGCTGTATCTGTGAGGAAGACAAAAACAAGTATCCTGAGCATCTCATTAGTTTATCGCTGACTCTGGATTTTAATATTTCACCGGTTTTGGTTAGTTTATAAAGTTAATGGTGGTGCTTTGTAGTAACAGTGAGTGGGCATGGTGGATATTGGAGTAGCAAATGGTTTTCACTGTTGTCTTTGGGATCTGACCTGGTTTCCTAATGGACAGATGTTTTTTTACAATTAGGATGGAAAACCACTGACGTGTTGAAGTGCTTGCTGGTGTTCAGGAAGCCCTGTGCTTCTCTTGGTAGTCAAGTTAGTGGTTAATACTGAAGGGTAACAGAAGGAAATCGGGAGGGCACATTTGGAAAATCAAATTGAAATAGATTGTTAACTAATCCTTCCAAATTTTATTTATTAATTTTGTAATTATATCAAATGAAATTCTCACAAGCTACTCTGATTGCTTGGCTTACCTCAATTTATATTCAAATCTCAATAAAATACATTTCAGCCTTTTCTTAATGAGATGATGAAAAATGCTATCCCATGGAAGAGTAGGGGACACACATTCCAACATTACTTAGAGTCACCTGTTTGCTTTTTAATGTTGCAATTGAATTTGTATTTAACTCAGGATTAAGGTATAAGCTGACATATTTGAATAAGGATATCTTTAAGCCATGAGTTGTTAAAATTAAAAAAAAATAGCCACACAATTGGTTAATAGAAGGAGATTTTAAAATTTCAAGGATGACAAATAACGAAGATGTGTTACTGTTGATTAGATGTACAAAGCAGTTTTATAAAGACCCATAGAGATACTGGAATTCCACTATACAGACAAAATGTTGGGTGTATTTGTGGCAGCGATGGAAAGGGGAAGGGGATGGAAGGATGGAAGGGGAGGGCTCCTTACTCCTGTACAGAGGTGCAGGTGCTGTTTGTGGGGTGCTGATGGGCAGAGAGTGGGAAACGTCCCTTGGGAACCTGCCTGGGGCCGTGCAGAAACAGGGAGTGCCTCTGGGAGCTGCTGGTCTTGGTGAGAAGCGGGGTTAAAGAGCAGTCCCGCCCTTCACACAGACAGGGCTAAAGCATTAGCATTGTTGGCAGGCAGTTTGTTCCCTATGTGCTAGACAGCACTCAAACAGTAAAAAGTATTCCCCATCCTCAATGGATGCACCATTTTAGTAGGTAGCAAAGCTTTTAGATGCCAGCAAGAACTTGTTGGTGACTACCATTTACTCACAAGTGTATATCTCAGGTCACCTCTGAAGCTTTAAAGAGGTTTATATTTATTATTTCTGAAAGGCAGGTTTTTGTATGCTTTTTCAGAGTGGGTCCTTTTCACCAAAATAAGCAATTCATAATGACTGGATTTTGGCCAGATTTTCCAGATGACTGGAGATTACTTTTAATGATCTTCATTGTAAATTTATAAAAAAGCAACCCAAACCAAAAAGACTCTGCTCTTTAAATATAGGTGACTTTGTCCAAAATAAGCTAAAATACAAACTGGGTTTGTTTTCCCAGTTAATAAAACGTGCTGTTAATGGGACAGTAGGCAAATGTCACATTCACATGTTGGTATCTATCAGAGCAAATCAAAGTCTACTGTTTGTCACAAGAGGTAAAAAACCCCACACTGTAATAAAACTGTCATAGGATCAGTTTCTCCTGCTTTATAAATAAACATCTCTGCTTTGCCTCGGTATTTCTGTAACATCCGGAGACTATTATCCTGTGCTGGTGCTCTGGTTCATTGACAGTTTCACTTAAACAGTTAAACAATAATTTGAAATGGAAAATGTTCTGCCCATATTCCTCAATTCCTTTGTGGTTTTCCCCCCCTAATTTTTTTTTGTTGTTTTGTTTTGTTTTTTTTTTTCCCCAATTGCTTTAGTAATTGCAACTTATTTTTTGTTACATAGGAAAATACCGAACTGCTCACAAACCTCATTCGAAGCCAAAAGTATCAAACGTTTTTGAGGTAGATTTTCCAGCAAATGGAAGTGATACAAAATCAATGGGCCGTTTTCAGTCAGAGGAGGAACTGTGGGCCCGCTTAGAAGAGCTCGAGAGACAAGAAGAGATACTTGGTGAACTTGACAGGTACGGTGCTGCTGTAGCACAGTCAGGTTTGAAGTTCAGACAGCTATAGGTGTGTGATTACGTCTGTACACAAAGGATCTCACCGTAAGTGCAAGTAGCTGACTAGACAGCTGCAGTTTTATATTGTAATAGGTGGAAATAGGGTGGAACGTGAACAAATCGTGCACTGCAAGGCCAAAGCTGCTAAAGTCTGACTCCCTTCAACCATGGCAGTCCAGCATAGTGGTATTTTTTCTTCAAGATGGTAGAAAATGGGGAAGTAAAATACATTTCCCACAGGCTAGGAGAATCTATTGTTTACAATGCAGGAGTTACACGTTTAGTGTTTAATAACATCCTTAGATCTATTCTGATCCTAAAGCAATACTTACGTCATTGGCCAGAATGTCACAGTTTTGGTATTTCCAGTTGACATAGAAAAGACATAGTCATTCTTATACAGTATAAAAAAGGTTCCCCAGCCTGACTAAAAATATAGTACCTGGGTAAAGAAAATTATGTACAGGTGTTTTGTATGCCTGTGTCTCTAAAGAGTATGAATTGCCTCAGTTCACTTAGATATGTTTAATTTCATAGGATGCCTGATACAGTTGAGACAAATGGAGAAGATACAACCTCCTCTGAAGAGGAGAAAGAAGATAAGAGGGCAGAACTGAATGGGACATATAGAGCCGAAGACTGTATTACTCAGGGCAACTTCCATAAAGAAGTAACGAATTCAGACTTGTTCGGTGGCCAAGTTAATGGCTCTACTTACTATCAGAGTGATGAGGAAGATGACATAGATGTTGATGATAACTCTGTTCCAACTATTTTTTTCTCTCACACTGTTGAACCTAAAAGGGTTTGTACTTATTATTTTTATCTTTCTCTCAAGAGATTCCATAAAGCATACATACCATATCTAAAATAGAAACGTCTAGGTAATGCAGGTAATGTAGAATGCTAACTGTAGGCAATATTTATTTGGATTTTTTTTCAAGTGCTTGCAACCCACTGTTTAAATCCTGCAGTTTCTAATACGGTATTAAAAAAATGTATGCTTTGCTGTTCTGGCTTCTGGCTGTTGTAAAAGGTAGTATCCTCCCTAGGCGTTTTTAACTTGACTTGAAATTGACTGTTGAACAGCTCAGCTGTTGAGCAGAGTTTGAATAAGCAGATTGTCATATATTATATGCAAAATCTATGCACATTAATGCAAAGAAATGCCCCAGTGTAGTGCAAGTGGTAAAGAATAAACAGTTCACACTATTAATGTTACCATTCAGACATCTGTTTAACTTACCTATGCTTCATAGTCCCCAACTGCTTGGGTAGGAGAATGTCAGAAGTCAGGTGATCAGCAGGCTGGTGATTGTTGATTTTATGGTCTAGACAATAATTTGTGTTCAATTTTCAGGTAAGAATAAACACAGGAAAAAATACTACTTTGAAATTCAGTGAAAAGAAAGAAGAGGCCAAGCGTAAAAGGAAGAACAGCAATGGCAATGGCCACGCAACTCCAGAACTACCTAACATCAAAACCCCAGCAGACATTTACCGGTGTGTAATTTATAGCATTGGCATGGGAGCTTTACCCTTAGCAGACCTCTTTTCATTTCTGCTCATCTATAGTATGAAACCAAGCCTCCTATTTCCCAAAAGAAACAGCTGGAACTGAATTTACTACTTAAAAATAAAGTTTGTGGCTTCTGCATGGTTGCCATGCTTTCATATCCATAAAACATTTCTGAGCTTAAAATTTCCTTTTCCAACGAGCAATATATTATTTATCTGCTTTTTCAGAGCTTCTGAAATTGAGGTAAATTTACCAGTACATATCATCTGCATACAGGAATATAACAGTTATGTTAAGTATTCTGGTTAATTCCATGTTGTTTGCTTCTGTGTTTGTTTTCAAACATAACTGACCAGATATATCACTTGTAATACTCCTCCTTTCCCAGTTACTAGTTGCTAGTTTTTGTCTCTTTCTTCTGGTATCTTCAGAATATACTCATGTCTTTGCATAGTTCCTCTTGCATTCTCACTTCCTGAATTCAGTTCTTTACTGACTCTATTCTCTGTAAGAAGTGCTCACCTGTAGAACACCCACACTCAGAGACCTTGAAAAACAAGTGTTGGGCTCAGAGGACTGTATAAAATACTAAACTGAGGTGACAGGAAAGTTGAAATAAGTATTTAGATTTGTAAAGATGAACACAGACACCTATGAGATCGGTTGATTAAATGCTTGTGAAAATCACACCATATTTGTATGTCGGTGTATTCAGGCACCTAAGTATCTTAAAAAAAAGGTGTCACTAAGTGTGGAAAGTTAAAACCCATCTGTAATTACAGTTGCTGGGGCTGCATCTGAAGTTAAAGGATTCTTTCATGGTGCTCTCCCTGAGCTCTGCAGAGGAACTCCATCTTCTGTAGATATGCAAGTGTTCCCATGAGTGCCTGATGAATAAAGCTGTTAAGAAACAAGTAACACCCTTAAAACTCATCCAGTCATTGGGCTCCTCCTTTATGAGTTTGATAAAATTGTCACTGTCTTCTTATGCCACTCTTTCTCCTCCACCCATCCTTGACTTCTTTAAGTCATGGAGATGGAGTACAAACCGTAGGAAGAGGTAGTCTGTTAATACTTGAAAAGTGTCTTTGTGTTGAGCTGATCTTAAAAGCTGATTCTTTAAAATGATTTTTTTTTAGAAACTGAAAGCAGAAAATTGTGGCACCTGTCAGGAAAAAACTTCATCCTTTCCATGTGCCATGAATGTTTCAAGTATTTGTTTTTATATTCTACATTTGACAAGAACTTCATTCGACAAAACCTCACGTCATTGTGATCTTCCGTTTCTCTTTGCAGAAACAACCCTGACAATCGTTTAGTTTACCTTTTTTCTAACTTCTTATAACTTACACTATTCTGTTTTCTAACACTTTTCAGAGCTATACATCTTCTGCTGAAAGAGTGTACCAACTTAATGCTTGAATAAAGGGCATAACAGTGTTTGCTCTGCAGAATTGATTCTTGTACGTTGGTAAATAAAATGCCTCTAAAGGTACAGTATTGTAATTCTGCAGCAAAAAAGTTGGAAAAGCACATCATAATTAATTTGTACAAAAGACAAAGCAAGATCACTGTAAATTTGTCATCTGATCCTGAAATGGTTTATTAAAGCTAACATTTTCCTTTGTAGAGTCTTTGTTGATGTTGTGAATGGAGAATATGTCCCTCGTAAATCAATTTTGAAGTCTCGAAGCAGAGAGAACAGTGTTTGTAGCGATACCAGTGAGAACAGTGCTGCTGAGTTTGATGACAGACGAGGAGTTCAGAGAAGTATTAGCTGTGATGAAGCAACTCAGAGTGACAACAGCGAAGGCATACTGGAGGAAGAGGAGGAGGAGGAGGGGCAGCAGCAGCTACCGAAAAAGCTTCCCCCCTCTTCAGGGACAACTGAGGTACAGTTTTTAATTAATTATTGATTCTTGGCAGGGATAAAAACAAGAAGGCTAATGACTCTAGTTGCCTGCACCATTAGTTTGATTTCTTTAAAATAATTTTCCAACTCCTACCTAGTTTGCTTTAGAAGAACATTATCAGGTGACAGGCTTCTGTCATATGCATCCTAGGGGCAGAGGAGATGAGTCAGGTGTCTTCCCCAAGACCTGAAGCTCTTCCGTAAAGATCTGACAAAGTAGTCACTTGCTGGTGTTCCTGAAACCAGTGTCATGTCTACTGGGTCATCCTGAAAATTTCACTGCAGGATATACAACGGGATTAAACCAAAGAAAAATCTGTGCTTCAGTTGATGAGAGGCAAGAGTTGATTCTCTGTAACCTGTGTTGCACGACTACTAGACAGCTAGTTTCCAAGTGGTGGTTTTAAGTTTTGGAACATGCAGATGCCAGCTGAGTTATTTGGACTTGCTAAAGGCAGAGGAATTGCCCTGTGGAAGGAAGCATTACACCTCTACTCATCCTATTCCAGACGAGGGCCATTAGTGATCCCAAACAAATCTATTTTCACATGTTTGGGAAGTTTAGGGTTTCATCATAAAGGAAAGAGACCGTACAACACAAGGGAAAATGTATAGTTGCTTAGTGACTGAATGAGTACAAGGATTAAATGTAGCTGCTGCTCTGAAATTCATGGCATAGAGTATTCTTAATTTTTTTTTTTTGGTAATAACTTACACTAATTTGTTCAAACTAGATGAAACTTGAGTTTTCAGTAGCTCCCAATGCAATGGGCGAGGTCAATGAAAACACTATTTTTAGAAAATTTTTTTCTGACAAGAAATGAATTCCTCATAAAAGCTACTGTTTATCATCATTTTTCATACAAACAGCTATGGGCAGATCTAGGCATGGTGTGAAGGTTCATGGTGCAAGATCCATCTCTAGAGTTAGGGCTTCACATTGTATACTTTCTGGAATGTATTTGCTATATTTTTATAAAGCATTATAAGTACCCTTTAGGTGTACCCATTAGTCCATTTTCTGCATATGGCATGATTATTCTGTACAATATAATGTACTAAGTAACTGAAGGAGAATGAGCAAAACACTCCAGTTAAACATGCCTTCTTAAATGCTGTTGTTTTGCTTTTGGTTGTTTTTGTGGGTGTTTGAAATACATTATTTCTCCATTAGCATTTGCAACACATTGACTTTTTTTGTTTTGTTTCTAATTTTACCACAGTTGTCTTGGGTTGTATTTTGCTTACCTGTTTTTGAAAATGAGCATGTTGTTAGAGCAACGCAGTTGTGTACAGGCATGGCTTTAGGCATACTTTGGCTATTAGAGCAGAAAACAAAAAAACACTGCTTTTTTGCAGGTCCTGCAAGAAAAGAATAGCTGGTTTGTTTTGATCTGTTTTTTAGTAACTGAGTTATGAAAAAGCAGAACTAAGAACAGTTAATAAATCTGTGTGCACATTCCTTTGTGCCCAGTATGAGCATCAAACCTTGGATGTAAACTGCTTCCCCTTGTCCTTAGGCATTCTGAATTTTCTGTTTTCAATACATAGTAGAGTGATTTGTTCTTAAATATGTTTATGGAAAGTAGTTCTGAGTTGCCTTTTTTCCCATGTTTTCCAAGAATCACGGTCATTTCTTAGCTAAGTTAAAAAGGATTAAGTCATCTAATCAGCTGCATATAAATTACAGTTTTTAAACATTAAATGTTTTTATTAGACCTTTTATAGAGAGAAATAGTTGGAAGCAAGTTTGCCTTTCTCTTAAGTATAAAGTGCTTTCACCATTTTTTGATCATATTTGGTAAGGAGAAAAGAACAAACAAAAAAATATGTGCTTGCCAGTTTGTATGCAGTGTGTCAGCTTGATGCAATTAGAAGATACTAAGTCATAAAATATGACGTATGATGGAATGCCGACGTACTCCCACTTTGCAAAATCTCTCCATTTCTTACCCAAACTGAAACTATATATTACATCAGCTGGTGTATTTCTTGAGCATGTGTCAGTAAGGAAGCAAATTTTTAGATCATTTATGCAGTAGGAATGAGATTAAGTAGTACTTTTAAGACACTCTTTCATTCAGTCATCTTTGAACAAGCTATATTTTGAGGTTAATTACAATTTGGTTACTTATGCAAGGAACAATCATTGATTTAAAGATATTTCTTTACTTTTGATTAAAAGAAATAACAATCCTAATCAGGCTAATATAGGGTAATGACCTTATGGGCATAGCTTCACATTTGCATTTTATTAGCTTATTTTGAGTATTCTCTTCTGTTGTAGGCATTTTCCGGGACTGTTATAGAAAAGGAGCCTTTGTCTCCCTCCCTAATACCACACCCAGTCATTGCTCACCCAGTCCTGCCTACCATTCTGGAGCGAAAATCAGAGGAAGTTTTGTCTGAACCATCAGAAGAAACTACAAAGAGGATTTCAAAATTCAAAGCTGCCAGAATGCAACAGACTAACTAGGTCCTGCCTAGCCAGCTGAAGTTGGAGTACTCATGCCTAGTTTCACATTTGTTGAGATTATGTAAGACTGTATGCGTTACACCTAGCTAGTTAAAAGGGTGTCCTATGTTAATTTGGCATCGCTTATCTTTTAAACGTTTACTGGCAACATTAAAACAAAAAAGTTCAGTGTTTGAACACTTGAGTATTCATCTTATTTTGTCTATTTCCCTGTGTGCTGTCAGCACCTTTGTATATGTTTGCCTTACCGATAGCAGCACTTGGGTTCTTTTTCAAAAACTGTTCCTTACATACATTGTTTTTGTGTTTAAACCTAAATACAGGCAGTTCTGTGCCAGCTGTGATGTTCTACATACCATATGGACCATTTTAAGGAAACTTTTCACATTTCAAATAGATTCACCAATTATACTGCATTACTTGCTTCAGCATTTTAAGACACACTTGTATTCACATTGCTGTAGGTTTTGCAACTAGGTGTCTGCTCAAGTTTTTTTCCTTCTTTCAAACCTCTCTGATATCTCACTGTACAGATCTATAAAACGCTGGGTTCATGTACATTGCAGGGAAGTTTCTTTGATGGAAAAGGGTATTTTGTAAAATTAAATTTTCAGTAAAACTGTGAAAGTTGTGTGTTTTTTGTTGCTTTACTACTAATTTGGAAACAACGCTGAGAGGTTTTTATTTTGAACTTGCATTTCTAGCTTGAAGTGTTTACTGCCACATGGACATAAAAGCAGTCCATTCTCCTCTGCCATTGTGTTTTAACCTCCTGCTAATGAATGTCCATGGAAATTGAATGCTCTTAAGGAGAGAAGCATAAACTCAGACTCCGATTACAAAATCTAGTTCTTTTGTATACTCAGAAAACATTGTAATTGTTTTGGGAATGCCCAGAGGGAGTCAGCACTAAGGAAAAATGTCTTAATGCTTCAACTTTATTTCAAAATGCAAGAGCAGTGCAGCACTCAGGGTACAGTTTTGTGTATCCTCGTCTTGACTGAGAGCAATCCTGGCTTCAGGAGTCCCTGCCCAGCAGCTCCTTCCTGTCTTCTTGCCATTGCCTCCCTTGCGCTGACACAGCTTTTGTTGGGGCCACCCCCCGAATGATAATAGGCGACAAAGCTGGGTTTAAAAAACAAACTACTGGGTTTGGGTTTTCTTTTTTTTTTTTTTTTTTTTTTAATTTTTTTTTTTTTTTTAAGAGCTGTGCGTGTTTTTTTGAAGTTAGCAAGTTTCCTAATCTCTTTCTCAGCATGCCTGTATCAGCACAGTTAGAGGGGTGGTGTGTTGAGCAAGGACAAGGGAAAACATTGGCAGAGAGCATGGTGAGCTGGAGTACCTTAAACTGATGTTACTCTCCAGCTGACATCAAACCACAGCCTAAAAAGTGAGGTAAAAGGACTTGGGAGGTATAAGGAAGGATTTGCTTTTGGCCACAGTTCTATAGCTTTGTAAACACTCAGCCAGCATCAGCCACCAGCATCTGGTTTTGCAGATCTTGGCCACCCATGAACAGGGCACCAACTAATGCCCTTTTCTCACCTTCCCTTAAAATAACTGCACCTTGTGCTCATCTCCTTGGCTTCCAGATCACAGCAGATTGGCTTATAGGGCAGCTTCATGCATTAAAACAGAATCACCAGCTCTCCCTTTTTCAACACTTTTCTCTCTGTGCTTAAAAGGGAGGTGAAGGCATTGGGACTTCTTTTTCTAAGGTGACTTTTAAAAAAGGCTGCAGTCCATCGAACTCTGATGTTCTCTGCTATGTGTTTGGAAAGGTGGCATACACAGTTTTATAGGCAGAAAATGCTGGCCAAGTTGGGTGGCAGCAGGAGGGCAAGAAGGGGCCAATAGTCGGGGTCCCTGCCTGGGGGAGCAGCCCACCAAAGCTGCGGGCCTCGTTTTTCCTGTGATACGGGGCAAATTGTGTTTTGCTGAAAGAAAAACTGAAGGGAAAGTTGTGCAACCCTCCCGCACCCAAAGCTTGCTGGCTGGGAGGGGGCAATCTCTGTTCTAAGCGGATCCTGAGAATCACGTTGAAAGTGTTAATGATTAATTTGATTCATGCTCAAATGCGGATTTTTTTTTCAAAGCATATTGCATTAGTACTAAAATAAGCCATCAATGCCAGTCCACCCTCTATTCACGGCTAAATATTTAAAGGAGGTTATTTATAGCTTCTTTAATGAATTCTTGGCTAAACAAAATGAAATTATGTCCTAGAAAAGTAGAAGCTATTTTGTAACCAGAACAGTGCAACTGTAAAATATAGTTCCATGAATATGTATTTTAAATAACAAGGGGTTGAGATCCAAGACTACCAGACATGGGTAATTAGAGGGAAAAGGAGAGAAAGAAAGACAGAGAGAAACCCCTTTAAGAAGATTTATTTAGATATCTTCTGAAATACTTCCCACTTCTAGTTACTTCAACAAAACCAAATGCCCCTTGTCACCATAGATCAGTTTCAAATCAAAATTAATTCTTTGCTTGTTTTCTTTTTTTCCCCCTCCCCTTTTTTTTCTTTTTTCAACCCTGCTCACGGGAAAAAGTAGGATAAATGCACCTTGGATTTTAATGAATTATGGCCTCGGTTCAGGGAAGCATCCTTACTCAGGAATGCACTTTGGCATGTGCTTATGTCCCAAAGATTTTGCAAAGAAGAATGGATTTAACCACATGCTTAAAACTAAGCACATGAGTGTTTTCCCTAATAGGGAGCCTGAATGTGTCCGTGCCCTTTCTGCAGTATATTTAATTGTCAGAGGGTTTACAGGCTGGAATGATCTTTCATCTTCGGTCTCTTCACTTGGGCTTCACCAGTAGATTCACTGTACAGTGCTTATAGCAAGAAGAGACGGCTGTAGGATTTCTGGAGAATGTTTGCAAATGCTAAATGAAAGAATAAATCTACCAAAGCAGATAAAAACCTCGACAGAGTAAAACAGTGATCACGTGGAGGCCCATCTCAGCAAGGACTTAAAATTTGCTTTTTTGTGCAACACTGAAGCCAACAAGTGGATGCAGATGACACCAGTGCGCAGATGAAGCGAACACTAGGATGAGGCAATGGTGCCCCAAATTAGAGGCACACAGGGTTCCTGGTAGTAAATTATAATCTGTCGAGAGGAGTGTATTTTTGCCCCCAGTGCTGCAGTTAAGAGATTTTATTAACCTAAATAGTAAGTGTACAGTTGAATCGATTTCTGGAACACCTTTGATAGCTTTTTCTGCTGCCACTACAAGAAGGGCTCCTGGTCTGCCAGGGAGCGCTGTAGAGGGCTCTGGGCACGGGGGTGAGGAAGGGGTTTTTCGTCCTTCCCGGTGTTCCCCAGGTTTTACGTGTCCTGGGCAGGAAGGCTGCGGCCCGGATGGGGCTGTGGCAGCTTCGGCAGCTAGTCAGGGGGTGGCACAGGAAGGTGCATGCTGGCAGGAGCCCCGTCCCCTGCCCTGTCGCGGTGTCCCCAGCCCGCTGGGGCACAGGCGAGCAGTGCCAGCTGGAGTGCAGCCAGGCACGACTTCACAGGCAGGTAGAAATGCAGCAGGAGAAAACAGCGGGGAAGACGTTGCTGCACAAGGTGTCTTTGGTCCAACATGGGAATGGCGGCAGGAGGGTGCACGGGCACGAGTCAGCGTGGCCCGGCTGTGCCGCGCCGTGCCGTGCCCCAGTGCCCCCTTTGCAGGGCCATGACTGCGGCAATCACGCACTGCGAATCACCCGCGCCACGTCCAGTCCTCACTGGGAGGCAGATTTGACTGTTTAATCCTCATTAACTGGCCACCAGTAAGTTGGGCACCTTCCTGTACCCAGAGAAGGGGCTGTGTGTGGGCCATGCTTCCCCACCGAGGCGGGGGGATCCAGCGCGGAGGAGCTGGGGAGAGGCAGCGGGTGCCGGGGAGAGGCAGCGGGTGCCGGGGAGAGGCAGCGGGTGCTGGGGAGAGGCAGCGGGTGCCGGGGAGAGGCAGCGGGTGC